GATGAATTTTTTTTCTCTTACACTTTTCACACTTTCTGTGAATGTGAGATATCTTTATCATGGTTAGCATACACAAGTATTTCTTTTTGTGTTGCAACTAATACCTGTAGATGCTGTAAAAGAAGGGAACAATTGTGGTCGTATTTTTTTCGTTTCATCGGGTTTTGAATTATAACGATTTTAAAATCTATTTATCATTTTCGTTGTTTTATTTTATAACATTAAAAATGTTTTTAAAAATTTATTTTCTATATTTTTTTTCTATATTTGTAAAATAAGTTATATTATTGTATTTTTATTGGAAATATAATAGCAAATAAGGTTTATTATTTCGTGTCACGCGCGTGTCCAGTTTCTTCTATTTAAAAACTTTTCTATTTTATTGAAAAATTAGTATAAATTTCCTAAATACGCAAACATTATAATTACAAAACATGTCTTTGCATATTTATAAGAAAAATATTCTACAATGTTGTTTAATTTTTTTTCTCTGATGTATATGATAATCATTTCAATTTTTTGTAGAATATTGCAGACAATACAATTATTATATTCTATATATTTCATAATTGTTAATTACAATATTTGCGAAATAAATAATTTAATATTAATTTTTTAGTAAAATATAAACATTTTAAATAGAAAAGAAATACCACGTTTGGTAAAATAAAAACAGACCACGCACCTTCTTTCTTTATTTCGACCGTCGGTTGGTTTAGACCTTATACTTTTACCGCATACCTACGTGCTTATCTCTGTTTATTTTTTACCTTTCTATCGCTCGTACCTACAAACATTTCGAGTATCGAAAGAATACGTGTCCACGCTTTGTAGTATGCAGTCGCGCACAAACACACACATATAAAACTAGGAGCGATAACTACGAAGCATAGCATAAAGAGGAGTTTGTCTCTTTTTCTCTCATTATTTAGTATAGCAGCCGTTTCATAGCTTCGTTACATAGCTTCGTTACACAGCTTCGTTACCGTTTATTTACTTTTCAGATCACTCCCATTCTAAAGAAGTTTTCACTTCAATAATATCGAACACGATTAAATAGATGAATGAAAATTCTAAAAAGCTAAGATGAAGTTAAGTCGCGACAAACATTAATGGATTGTTGTGAAAGTATTGTCCAAAGGCGTGGATCCTGAGTACAGAACTTTGTCCTTCTATAATTCGTGAGATGGGGGGCGGTGAATTACGTAACCCTTTAATATCCGATGCAATCCCATCACGGATGCACGCATTCACACGCAAACTCAGGAACGTTACGGAGTAACGATTCTCTCTCTCTCTTTCTCTTCCCCTACCCCTTCTCTATTTCTCATTCTCGCGTTTCGTCGATTTTGATGGAAATTCGCTTTCGCGCGACTGCTTTGGATTTCATGGTCCATCGAGACGATCGACCATGTCGATCACGTTATGTGTATGCTACTTCTATCATTAGCAATCGTAACACCATGACGGACTTTCGTTATTGATGTCATATCTATTATGAGATTCTTCTCTCATCAAACGTCAGAGTTTGCTTTTTTTTTCTTTCTTTATTATTATTTGATCATTCTAATACTCTCAAAATTGATGTTTAAAAATCGTTTAAAATCAATCAAGACGTTGCTTTTTGTTTTTTTCTTTTTTTCGATTATTTCTTAGGTAAATGTTGCATAGTATTTTCAAATACTTATAACTAGAGTACGAGCAAGATTTTATTATTTAAATTGACTGTCTAATATAAAAATAATATAGTTTTATCGTATCGTGTTTATAATTACTTATTTTTCTTTTTTTTTTAACATTCCATTCAATTAAAAATCTTTTCAATAATGTATGACAAATTGTAAGATTATCGCAATCAGTTGAAATTGATGCTTACACAAATAGACGTAATTTATATAAATTTCTTTTAAAATGAAAGATCTGTTGGAGTCGTTTTACTTTTTCTACTCAAATTTTTTTCCTTTTTTTATTTATTATTCAAACAATTAAATAATATTTCAATAGGATTTCGCAGTGAAAAAATAAACATTTTATTAATATACAGGATAGGATGATAATCACAGTGTAATTGGGTAGATAGTGATTCTAAGTGAAAAACTAATTAAAAGAAATTCGTTGTTTAAAAACAGTTAATCAGAGTAACAATGATCAAATCATATTCAATTGTACACAAATTTTAACATTATTAACATCACAATAATTTTCTTGAAAACGGAATTTCGGACAGAAAAATGTTATATCAAATTATTATCTTATTTTTTTCAGGATATCAGAGATTAAAAAATTTTAATGCAATCGAACGTTAAATATTACATGAGGTTTGCAAGTAAACATCTCTGTTTTTAGAATGTAATCTTTTTGTAATATTCCATAGCAAATCGATGCTTTAATCGGTAGTAATCGGATTTACAATGTTGAGTTCTGATTCTCGGTCTCACGCTCCGTTAAACTCGATTCACTTCCTGGAAGCGTTCTGTATTAATTTCGTAATGGGTCAATGACTTGTATTCAAAGGCTTGGGCTATTCTCGACTGAATAGATGGCAACAAAAAAAAAAGAAAAAAATAAGATGCGTGAAAAAATTCTTCTTATTTTTTTTTTTTATTTTCGTGTCTTTTCCATAGGAAATTGAAATTTCAATGTGTAAATAATGGGGTCGGTGAGAGAAAAAACAAATGCAGCCTGTCTCTAATAACATAAATGTAAATTATTTGCACACGATGTTGAAACACGAGTTAAGACGATACACTTTTAAATTATATGTAAATTTATACGAAATTATATTTCACAATGTGATATAATATTAAAATTTTTGTATAAAAGTATTTTCAAAAAAAAAGAATGATTACGATATCGATAATGAGTATGCTTGCATTATGATTATTCTCGGACGTTTCGTAATTTTATAAACAAAGTGTATTGAAATTCAATAGATTGGATTTAAAAAAGAATTGGTAAGTGACGAGAAGATGACTGGGTCGTATAGTGAATCATGAGAAAAAAACAAAAAAACAATTATTCGAAATCCGTCCAAGAAAGAAACGATTCGTAGTTTTAGGAGCGTACAATAACATGGTGGATTGATAAAACACATTGTCATACTATATATCTATATATGTATATATGTATATATGTATATATCGTTTTCTATTTCCCACTCTTTCTTCCTATTTGCTCTCGGTTGCTCGCTCACTCTGAAATCGATGCTACCAGCATTTCCAAAACGATAAGTATCAAAAGTCTACGCTGCAATCCGTCATTCTGTCCAACGTTTCTCTTTCGAAATCGCTCTGAGCGAAATTACGAAGCATCGATAAAGTAGTATGGTAGCGTAATGTTTCCACGCGATGGATTTCGAGTCTATCCAGACGAGAGAAATCGTTTGCCTTTCTCTGTTAATGTTGAATGTAAAAAGATGAGCAAGAAAAAGTTTGCTTCCGAATCAAAGTATACACAAAGGTTTTCTTCATTTCCATATATGGTAAATCGAACCTTCATGATTGTTAATTCTTAGTAATTAAAGACATATCAAACATATTCTAACATTCTTAATTATAAATAGTATCTATACACATATATACATTTTATTTAGCTTCAAAATCAAGAATTAGTCTTAAAATAGGTCAATTAATTTTTTTTACAAATATATCTTTGAGATGTTCATCCATCTTTAATTTATTTTCTCTTACTCCTATTTTTATCCTTAATGTTTGTTAATTACTATTTAAATTAATATTTTAAAATACCAAAGTTATTGTTAATTAATAATTTTGATGATAAAAAGAAAGTACATTTAGATTTCACTCTTAATGTAAGTTAACACATAGGTTAAAGCTACGAGGAATCGGGGAAAGTAATTTGTACTAGGTAGAATAATAAGAAAGGAAAAGGAAACAACAACGAGAAAAGAAATGGAAGTAAATCGAAAACAAGTTGCATCGATTAACAACCTCTATTTTCGAAACGTCGCTTTACGGATTTTCCCATACTCCAACAGAGAAATTCTACTCTCGCAAACCTCGGCTATCTAATCTTTGTTGACATCAACCGCTTTATCGGATTCTACAGGATTCTGATTCTCCATTACGATGCTCCATGGTTTCTCGTAATGCAACGCCCGAGGCCTTACCAATTGGATTGTGAAGGGAATCGTCGAAATAGCCAATCGAGATATTCCTTGTTTGTACTAAGGGCTTGCATAAGATTAATATTACATTACGAATCAAAAATTGTCTTAATAATTTCTTTACTTGAACTCTACTTTGTCCATTTCAAAGATATTTGTTTGACACTGTTTAAAATAGACTGTTTACGAGATTTGAAATTTTTCTAACAACGTTATCACTACTTTCTGTTTTAGATAATGAGATTCTTTACCGGGACGAAATTGGGAATCTTCTCATCTATAATGTCGAATTGGCCTCTTCTAAGATCATCCTTGACATGACCAATTCCGTAAGTCTTTTAAAATTTAAATAAGCCTTTAAATTTTTCAATTTTTATTTTTAATTTTATTTTTCTCTCTCAAAAAAAGAAGAAAAATAAAATGAGAAACTTTTCGCTACTCAATTCGTTGGGTAAAAATCAAAGCGTAGTTTCGAATTTTTATCAGTTTTCCATTAGTTTTGGTAAAAACTCGATCGATCAAACGAAATATTGCTTCCTCTTTTTTTCTCTTCTTTTTTTTAATCTGAAATAGACCTAACCTTCTCGCTTCATTTGCAAAAAATGATAAATTTAAGCAAAAATATAATAGAGATGCGTATATATATATATAAAAGAAAAAAAGATATGCAAGTAAATCGAAATGTTTTTGATACGTGGAATCACGTCGTTTTCGTGCATCACTGATATTCATCCGGTAATTCGCGTAATACCCTCTCTCGCACACACAAGCTTTCTCGGGAATCGAGAACAACAGACGAATCCTACAGTAATTGCTCGTTATTTATCAAGTCGTGACGTGAGTAATTGATCGCTGGCAACACGCCTTACCGTTTACCGCGGGTCGACCATTAGAAGATGATTAATGACTGGTCTTACGATATTGTTCCGCGCTACTATTTTTAATTTAGATATATGTATTTCTTATATATGCTATTGAAAACGAAAACGAAAACGAAAACGAAAACAAAAACAAAAGTAATAAACATAGAAGGAAACAGGTCGTCCATGAATATCAGATTGCACCGATGAACAATTCTCAATTGTTGTTTAAAATCGGAGTACGGACTGGGAACAAAAATAAAAAGTTATATGAAAAAATTCAGAATTTTTTAACTTTCATAAAAGAATTTTATCGTTAGAAAAAACATTCACAAAATTAATTAACCATTTGACTACTGTTGGCGCTCATTGGCGTCTGACACATGTTAGCTTCTCGGTACTGTTGACGCCTATTGGCGTCCGACACATGTTGACTACCCGGTACTGTTGACGTCAAACAGTATTCGAAATTGACAAATCAAATTTCGCTTGTTTCGCCCGTTTAAAAATTTTATAATTAGTCTTATGGTAATGTAGACCTCTAATGGTAATGTAGATTACTTATTTCGATTAACTTATTTTGACTCATTTAAGGTAGTTCGAGCGTTGGGTAACGTACCTAGCGAGGGGTCCCAAGGGGGCTTTAATTTTTATTCAATTAATATTTAAATTTATGGTTGAATTTTTATTTAGAGATATATAATTGACTTTTAAATGAAAAAATTCATACATAAATAAACTTAAAAATACAAAAATTGGTAAAATCCACATTCGCCATTCTTAAGTGAATGTATATGTTACAACCCTGGTATCAGAAATCTGGCAACATCGCAATATAAAACATACTAATATGTTTATATTTTAATTATAATTGTTTTCAATTCACCGCTATTTTTCTTACATTTCAAAGTGCGATGTTGTCAGATCTTCAACGCATGCGCAAACGACGTTCCTCAACGCGTAAATACCTCATTTTTCAATGATTTTTCTCTCTTTGTTTATAAATTAGCCTGGCTACCTGTCATCATTTTAAGACAATGAAATTTTAATTAAAAAATTGTATAACTTCACCTTCATTTGTAAAAATCTGTCTTTTTAGAAGAAAGCTATCATGTATTATGTATGCTGCATCCATAAGAACTCACGTTAAAAGTTCAATTTTTTATTTTCATTTTTTTTTTTTAATTTACCTGGTAACAGTACTGTTTTTTGTCCCAGCTTCAAAACAGTTATTTCAAGAATATATTATGAAAATTTCAAGATAATCTATCTTTTTATAAATATGCGCTCGAACTACCTTAAATTTAATAAAACAAATATTAAGAAAATACTTAGATGAAACTAATGGATATAAATTTAGAGGTAGAGATACTAACAATGAGCTTTTTCGTTTGACGCAAAAGCATTTTCCGTCTCCACATGAAAGCAATACAGCAATTCGGAAAAGTGCAAGGCGTAGATGTGTAATGTGTGCAAAAAATGATAAGAGAAAGGATACACATTACGAATGTAAAAAATGTAATGTAGGATTATGTATTCATCCGTGTTTGGAAATATATCATACGTTATTATATTATTAAATTTTATTATTAAACATTATTATTTAAAAAAAAATATATTGTTATTTAAAAAAAGCTTAAAATTAATGTTCATTTCAAGTAGTATTCGTTTAATGTAATAAATTTCAGTATTTTGAATATTTTAATATACTTCCTCAGAAATGCATGTCTAACGAAAAATTTTGCCGTACCTAGTGGACGTTGCGAGTGAATTCGTACCGTACCGTACGGCCAGTGCGTGCCAAAGTCTGCCGTAATCAAAGGGTTAACAATGAAATGAACAATTGTTTTATTTCTAATAAAAATAATATTGTTGATTAAATATAATTTTATTAATTGTATTATACTTTTTTGATTTAAATTAAAAGAGAGAGAAAAGAAAATTAAATTTTCTAATTCACGTTGATTAATTAATCGTCTTTACTAAGTAAATTTTTAGTCGTATAAACGTTGTGAATAAACTTGACGCATTTAGGTCGAGATAAAGACAAGATGGTTTTAAGTATATTTCGTAAGGAAGAGGGAGGAAAATCCGCAAGTTTTAGGTTTGTTTTAATGAGAACGATTTTAAAACAAGGAGAAAAGACTAAAGCCGATTAGAAGAAGTTAGCGAGTTGGCGTAACGACAATCGCGTTCTATTCGAATCTCGTTTTAACGAATTTAATGCTTACTTTCTTTAACTTTTGACGTAACATTTTTCTTCTTACTTTTATTTTTTTTTTTTCTTTTCAATTATCGACATTTCAAAGACATTTGGGAGTTTCTAGAAAAAAAAACACAAAACTGTTACTTTATGTTCGAGAATTTTCAATGCGCTCGCATGATAAGCAAATTTTTTCTTGTAGTTTAAAAAAAAACTGTATTATATATGTCGTGACATTGATTAAGAGAGACGATTCGTTTAACCAAGAAAAACAATTATTATATCGATCATTTCAAATAAAGAATTGTTATTAAATATTTTTCATTTAATCGAAAAAAAACTTCAAGTACCTTTCAAAATAAAACGGAGAATGTTTCTTTACCATCTACTTGTACAAAAATTGTTGAAATGATATTCTTCTCTCTTTTTCTTGTTTTTTTTTCTTTTTTGGTGGTTCTTCTATCTCACTTCTTTTATTTAATTTTCCTCTTCTTCCTTTCCTTTTCTCTTTTTATTTCCATTCTTTTTTTCTTTTTATGAAACTCGTTGACGCGTCCAGCGTTTTATAACTCGAAGTAACTTTTTAATTTCGTGCACGATTCGCGCGACACGATTTATAACGCTTAATGAGTGCCGGTAGGTCCCACAAGTTAATTGGAATTATTAATCGAAATTACAGCCCCGTAAGTTTCCGAGTTATTCCCAGACGTGTGTGTGTGTGTGTGTGTGTGTGTGTGTGTATGTGTATGTGTATAGTAGGGAAGCTTTGCGATAATTACACTCTCGTGAAAAGGACTTAGACTTTATTTTTCTTTCAAACATTTTTCTCTTTACATGAAAAATTTTATTGTAATTTATATTTATCTTTCTATATTTTGTTTTTTTAAATTATTTACAGGCCCTCTTGTCCAGCTTTGATCATCAAATATCTGCCGATCGGAAATATCTTCTACTTGCTATTAATTACCATAAGGTAAGTTTTATCAAATATATAAAACATCCTATTACCGAACCTTCGTAATTCATTAATCATAATTATCTCTCAAAAAGAACTTTTATGCATAAGAACCGTATTATTTATCTTTCCTATTAAAAAAAAAAAAAAAGTAATTTTCAAAGGATACCAACGCAAGCACATACATTATTTTAAAAAATTTCTTCTCATTCAAAATGACTAGAATACAAATGAAACGAATGAATCTGAGTTGATCAAAACAAATAAAATGTCCTCGTGACGAAAAAAAATGTGATAGAACGTGAAAAAATGCAAAAAAAAAAAAAAGAAAAAAAACAGAAAAATATCAGCTATCGTCCGGGTGTCATTAAAAAAGATTATCACGTGTAAGCTTACAACAGGCACACATGCGTAATCCGCAATGCGATTTGCATGCGAATGAAAGTACAAGAGCGAGAGAATGGGGGAAGGGGTGGATTTGATGTAAGAGAGAGGGAGATGGGGGGGGGGGAAGAGATGGGAGAGATCAGCGTTAGAGACCGAAAACACAATGGTCTGTGATTGCATTCAAGCAGATAATTCGAGATTTTGCGCTGTCAGTAATGTGACGAACGGTCTCGCAGGTGAGGGTAAGCGAGGCTTGGTAAACCCAAAGGTCAGCGTTCTTGTTAACAAAGCAGTTGACATACAATGCTGGTCTTTGTATCGTAGTCTTTTGCTGTTACTCTCTGGAGACTTACGAAAATAGTGGGATAGTAAAGCTCAACCACCCACTCAAACCACACCAACCTTTACTTTTCTCATTTTGTGATCTATCTTTCATTCTACTCTAGCCAAAAAAAATCCTAGCCAAACCTTTCCTTTATATTACCAAATCTTTTCTCTTCTTCTTCTTCTTTATCTTCTTTATCTTCATCATCTTCTTCTTATTTTTCTACCTTCCATCTTCTATCTACTATTTTTCAACATGAAAAGAAAATTTAGCCGCATTGAAGAAAATTGGTAGTCATGTGGCAGGTGTAGATTTTCGAGAGAAGGACCGCCCGCAATCCTCGTACGAGTTGCACCAAGTCTCGTTGTTCAGAACCCACGCCTGGTCTTCCTGCCAGTAGATAATAAAATTCGCTCGACTGACAATGAATTCTAGCAGCGAGGTTACGTTCGAAAAGAGGGAGAGAAGGGAGGAAAGGAGAAACGAGAAGACTTTTTCCATCGATGAAAGCTTGTTTTAGGAGAACGAAACGTAATTGGTTCGATCTTCCAACGTTCCAAAATCTTCCAAAAGTTCGTCACGAGTTCTCTCGTTAATTTTCGAATATAACCATGCAACCAGAGGAATTTCATTTATTCCGATGAGCCCGGCCACTATACTACTAGAATTCGAATATTCTATTATTTCTGGACGATCGTTTAAATTCGATTCGTTCGTTTAAGCTACTTTTGCGAATGTGTATATTGGGTGCTGATACGTTAGTTCGGAGAAAATGGCAAAGTGTGATCAATTTTTCTATTAGAACAATTCAACTGGAAACAAAACAAAAAGAAAAAAAAGATGTAATGTCATTATTAGGTCGAATTAAGTTGAGACGTTTATTGAAATGTTGTTGAGTTAAATCAACTGGTTTAGGTCATATTGTTAGATATAGGCTGCCGAGTGAAACGATGTTAAATACTCTGCTCGTATAGTAATATTTGCATATCAAGTTAATTCGGTGTAATCGCGAGTGTGGAAAGTCAAACCACATTGTGTATGCTTGCATGCTGACGCGCGCACGTATGATACGAAGCAAACTAAACACCATATAATACCTGACGCGCGCAACGCCAACCGAGACTATAGGATTCTACGATTGTGTACGAGCAGACCGTCGTCCTCTCTTCTCCTCCTCCTCCCCCTCCTCTCCTYCTCCTCATCCTACTCATCCTACTCATCCTTCCCTACCCTCATCTAACCCAACCCCCTACGATCACTTCCAACCATTCTCGACCAACAACAGAACGTACATACATGCTAGTCGGCCCAATTGCATACATTACTGCTCTGCCATATATATCGCATATATGGATATACATATGTGTGTATGTGTGTATATATATATATGTATTTATATATGCACATATATCTCTGTCATCTTCATTTTCTCTCTTCCCCTACTCATTCTTTATTTTTTTTTCTTTCATAAATACATACACGCACATACGCACATCCATGTTTATATATAAAATAAACGCATATACAAAGGAGTGTCATGACAAATTTGTTCTTAACGTATAATTTATAAATATATTCGTAAAACGTTAGCGTGTTCAGCATGATTATCATCGTTAAAATATGTGATTAATTTGACTTCGGTAATTTTAATATCGTCATTAAATACTTTAGATAGAGAATATTAACTTTAGTTTGTAATAAGGGGAGAAATATTCTAGTTTATTTCATAGCTGTAGATGATCACTTAAAAAATATCGATAACGATATAAAATTACTAATTATTTACTTATTATTGATAATTGTAATAAAAGGCATAGATCAATGTAGTTTCAGATTAGTCAACAAAACCAAGAGGATAGTTAATAAATAAACAAGAACGAAGGTAAAGATAATTACGGATAATTTTCAATCAATCGGTATTAACGAGACATTATATTTCGTTTTATCTGGAGTATTGAAAATTAAGTAAATTCGATTCGTATCTCCAATCAGTAAATATAAAATGATTTGACTTTGATTAATGTAAATAATTTAAATGAAAGTAAGTAATTATTTTTTTACCTTGTTTTATTTTTTTATTTTAGATGTAATTATCTTCTTCAATTTTGTGTCAATACGTATTGAGATAATTTAATCTTTATTAAAACGAGAAAAACTAAAAACCAAAGTACTTATTGCATTTTAATTGAACATTCTTTATATGTACATCATGTCATTCTTCGAATTGACTCTTACATAAATTCATCTTCCTCCATGCGTTTATGACAATAATCTGCGGTCAGTGACCCTTACTGCTGCATGTGAAATCCTAAATCATGTCACCCGAGACCGGAAGCAGTATCATACGAATATACAAAAAAAATAATACTTTCTCTTGGGATACTCCACTTTAACGACTTTTGATCAATAAACGATCGTGCTAGATTGTTAGCTCTTAATTTCTCTCGAGGATTCAATTGAATTCAATATATTTGTAACATTTTGGAGAAATATCGATTTAAAAAATTATATTTTCAATAATTTGACATTGTTTTTCAAATATCTTTTTAAGTATTTTTCTTTTTATAATACAAAATATTTTTTTGTATAAATTTTCATGATTTATTTTAGGAATTTACGGAATATTTATTTTAGGAATACTGATTATATTAACGCCTTATCATGTTCAAATGGACAGTAGAGAATTTACAGAATTTACCAAACAATTTAAAGCGAAGTAAATTTTGTAGTTTGTATTTATGAGTTTAAAGCTCGATATATAATCTGTAGAAATGGTTATCGACGTAATGGAATAGCCACCGATATGAAGCATCTGGCGTCGAAATATACAAAATAGAACAAAAGTTTGTAATTTGTTGAAACAACTTTTAAATAAAAAAATAATAATGCATACTTGTTAGTTAGTCGAAAATATACAATATTACTTAATATTTGTTTCATATTCTTATTATTTACATTCTAATTCTTAATAAAAATAATTTACCGGTAATTATTATTTCTGTTGTATTTTCAAAAAGAAAAAGAAAAATTATTTGTAATCATTTATAATAATGATAGTAATATTTATATTCAATTATTTCTAAATTTAATTTGAAATAAAATTTAATAAAAATCCTTTATTTCTATATTATTTAATATTTATATTTCTATATATGTATTTTTAGATTCTATTATAAATATTAAATAAGGATTAACTCATTCGATATACCTGCTATCAATCTTTAATCGAACGCTGTCCATGCAAAATCGTGGGATTATGTCACTAACGGCCGAAGGATTATCAAGTATATAAACACTGATATTGAAGAGAAACAGGCATGAGAGAATAATACAATACTTCATATTTTCGATTATTCGATTATTATGTTATAATATTATGTCATAAATTCAATATTTTATATTATATATTCAACTGTTATGTTATAATATTAAAAAAAAAACTCGTAAAAAACATATTTTATTTCTTTTGTTTTTTGTTGAGAAATGTTTATATATAAAGATCAAATTATTATAATATAATGTCGCGTTTCTTGTGGAATAAATTTTGTAGGGTGATAAAATAATCGCATTACATATATATTAAAAATAAAAATATTGTACGATAAGAGTATTTTTGTAGAAATTTCTAAAACATTAAAGGATTATGAAATATTATAATAATATATTTAGTCAAATTATATGAAATACATGAGAGAAAGACTAACGATCGATATTAACACGAAAGCTTATTAACTTTGATAAAAAGTTTCACATATATTATGTCTATATAGAGAGTCGGATTTTATTTTCCAACGAAAAAAAATATTGTTTTTCTTATCTATATTTTCAAGTAAACAACTTTTGAAACAAAGTCTTTTAACGTTTAACTGAAACATTTCTTCTTAAGTTATCGTTAACTTTAAGTAGGTAATGCATTGGAGTTTAGAAAGTAAGCAGTCCGAGTTAACGACCACTGCAAGTAGTAAGAGTCAATAACATCTACTAACGAGTTTAAGTAGTATAAGTTTACGTTGTAGCTAGTAGTAGAGATCAATAATAACGGTAAAACACACTGATCTCATTTAAAGACGAATTATATGTTTTTCTTTATTTCGAGTTTACAAACTGCAGGATAATCTAAATGAAATTACATTTAAAAAAATAATATAATTTTTCTTGTAGTTTTCCTTTTTTTTCTTTTAGAAAAGGGGAAAAGTAGAACAAAGTAAGCATTAATTTAAATACTTTTCTTAATAAAATTTTAATTTATTTTAATTCAAAAATTTCATTCGAATGATAAACGAAATTTTGTCCACGTACTTAATAA